TCGTGGCTGTGTCGTCCTGGTCTGGTCGGAGGCGTTTGGCCTCTGGAGGATGTGATGCGTGTGGTTCTGCCTGCCGGGCTTGTCCAAACATGAAAACGCCAACGTCCACTGGCTTCTTGAACCGTGCCTTTGGGTGACGTAGTTCTTGAAGATCTTCTTCAATGACATCTACCTGGCCGTCGGTGTATCTGAGCACGGCTGCCCTGTGGGTGTGAGGCACGTGCCAGGGAAACCGCCAGGTGATTGGTTGTGCTGCAATCTGAACCCTCTCCATGTGCTTCCATTGAGAAAGCTCCAAGGCCTTGAGGAAGAGGGGATCTGAAATAGGCAGCGTGAAGGACTTGTATCGAGTGACTTGGAAGGTGCTGTCAGCCATCTGGAGTGCTTCTGCCCATTGGTCAACTGCTGTGATCATGAACGTGGTGAAAAAGGTACGGGGCTGGTGCTGTCGATCTGGATGTCGGTGGTGTACCTCATCTCGCACGCCCCTGAGGATCTCGGCGACCATCTCTGGTGGGTAGCGCTGTGACAAGGTGGTTTCCTTGCCTTGGAGTGGCACACATTGCTTCTGCTGGTCTGGTGTGAGCTTGCGGCTCAGACGTGCCAGTACATGAGGGCAGTTGCCCATGAACCTGTGCCCCTTCCTGATCATGTTGCCCTTCGAGTCCTGGGCTCCATCTGATCCGGCATGACAGGTTGTGGTGGTCACGCCGGGAAGGTTAAGCAGGCTGGTCATGACGGGCTCGAACCAGATCCGGCTGGTAGTGGGATTTTCCAGCAGGAACATGCGTCCTTCATCCACTTGCTTGCGGCACCCACCATTGGCAGACCTTCTTCAACAGTCTGCGTGCCTTGGCTCGACGCATGAGCAAAAGAATCTTCCTCCTGACATAGTTGGTGTTGTCCTGAAGGATGCACCAGTCGCGGCAATCGATGCCCTGAATGAGGATCAAGGGCTTGAGTTGATCCAGTTGCCACTCGACTTCTTGCTGGTGGGCGGTCTTCTGAAGGTCCCATCCGGTTGCATAGTCGATGGGCGCTGCCGCACTAAGGCCAAATTGGCCGCTTCTTCTGGAGATGTTGGCTTGTCCTGCTGAATGTCTCCAGGATGTCAACCTTGGACCGTGTGTCCCGTGACTTCTTGAAGTGCTCGAGCAGGTGATCATCATCCTTGGATTGGCTCACCAGGTCATATTCTATCTTGTGGACACGGTGCAGCTCTCTCAGCTTGCCTCGAAGAGCCCTTCGAGCGGCTGATGACAGAAGGCCTGTGGACTGGTTGTTCGAATTCTGGATGGTGAAGACCGTCCGGCCAGTCCATGGCATCTTGAGCTGAGTCTCCTGGTGGCTCCTCCAATCATATTGGACGGTTTCAAATGTCCCGTCTTCATACTGTACCTCTGCTCGGCATTCTGACCATAGAAGGTGTTTTGGAATCGGGCAGTCTTGGTGATGAAGGTTGTACAGCAACAATCGAGGCATGTTGCGATGCCTCGTGAGCTTGTTCTTGCCCTTTTCCCAATAGTCATGGTCACTGTCCATCATGCCCTCCAGTCCCAGCTCTCCAGATCGGAGTGGTACTGATCCGGATTGTCTGAGGTCGGCTCCCTTTCCTCGTAGCATTCCATGATGTTCTCGAACTCCTCTCGAGTGTACCCCGATCCCTGGTAGTCGTTCATCGTCAGGTCGTGCATCATGGGTCTCATGGAGCCTGAGCTGGTGGTTGATCTGGTGTCGGAGGGCCGACGTGGTGCTGGCTTGCTCTTGCTCTTGGCTGCTTTGGACTTGCTCTTGGCTGCCGTGGTCCTGTGAACCAGTTCTGACGGAGAGAGGATTGTGTCCTGTGAGGGTAAGGGCAGTGCAGACGAGCTTGAAGATGTTGGTGAGTGTACCGCCCAAGCTCCGAGCTCTTGGTTCCACTTGAACCTGTTGATCGCATCTCTTGCACTTGGCGAAGCGGCCGTGGAGGTTGCCGTATCGCTGGAACTCGGGGTGAGTGCAATCCCTCTGTGACACCATGGTCCTCTGCATCTGTGCACGATGCTTCTCCTGCAGCTCGAGCAATCCCATGCTGCTGAGCCATGTCCTTGGACGGATTCCGAGGCGCACCAGCTTGCGCATGGACTTGATGACATTGAACTCCAACAGGAACAGGCGGAGGAGAAAGGTCCTCCAATGTTCCAGCCATGTGGGTGGCTGTCTCGTCGACGGACTGGCCCGCATAGATGAAAGCCGTGGTGGAAACACCGTCTGAAACAGCCAAAGCTTCGGGATGCACGACGAGTTCGGGGGAAGGTTCATGCCCAAAACGATCATCTTGCAAATCACTCCAACAAGACATGTGCGAGACTCTCGGAGGGAATGCCGTGATGCATGCAACCAAATGTCCGTGCTTGCGTTTCAATGGAACACTAATGCCAACAACTGCAAAATGCAAAATGCCTTGATGCATGTCAATGACACAGCCCAACTGTTCCATGAGGATGCGACTAGCCAAAAACGGAATGTTGACATCCAAAACGCTTGCGCCCAAAACAATGCCCTGAGTCTCCTGACTGATGAAGGCAGCTGGAAAGTAGCAGCGGGTTGCTGCTTGCTGGCATGCACCTGCACCGAACTGGAATCGATCGTCGCATGGTACTTGGTGACATTGCAACCCATGGTTTCCCAACAACTTCATATGTGTACCCATCCACCGGCTCCCAGCACATGACCGTTGACACGCCGTGTCCAACACCATGTAGCCAGCTAGGTCAATGGTCTCGGTGACATAAACGAAGGGGGCATCCGGAACATCTACCATGAGGTTGGCCGGGAAGGTGTAGAAGGGATCTTGTGGATCTTGTTGTTGTTCATCCCCATAGGTCACCACGAACGTCTTCTTGGGGAAGGTGGACGAGGAAGTCGAGGATTGGGTCCCCCCAGTTGCAGTCTTGCTCTTGCCTTTTCCTCCTTTGCCAGGGCCTTTGGCCGAGACTGGACACTCGGTGTCACCAGCCCAATGGCCGATGGCACCGCAAGCTGAACAACTGCTTGTGCGCTTCCTCTCTTGTATGGACTTGCGTCCTGTGAACTTGCGACCCAATGTAGCTGCTTTCAACTTGTTGGAAGTGACCGTGAGCACGGATGCCAATTCGCTTAGCGAAGCACCCAAATCATCGTCATCTTCCTGGTCCGGATCAGGGTCGACTGGCGGTGAGGCATTGGGGTTTTCCTCGGTCTCAAAGAACTCTTCGTCCTCAGCGGCCATGTCGGCCGTAGCGAGCTTGTCTTCGTTTTCAGCTTCATGCACGGTTTCGTGCTCGGCCTGGAAGACCTTGCGAGGTGGATACCCTCCTTTGCCTTTGCTGCGGTTGTAGGCTGATGCCGATGACGGCACCGTTGAGCTTGAGCTCGTGGTGGTGGAGGCGGATGTGGAACTGTAAGACTTTCCACTAGACTTGAACGACTGTGGCTGCTTCCATGGAGGCTGATGCTGATGAAACACTGCTCGCGTGGTCTTAAAGTCGGGGAATTGTAGCTGCAAACTTTCAACAATGGCATCAAAATCCAAGCTGTTGTGTGCACCAATCAAAACCAAACGGGCCAATGAAGGTTCCAACTTACAACGCTCAAGGATCCTGTTTCCCCTCGACTCTGAGTCATACATTGCACCTGTCTGTATGCCAACTGCTTGCAAATCACGTTCGATCCGCTTGTATCGATTGATGTACTGTCGAATCGTTTCGTTTGCAGTGCGGGCAACAACTTCGTAGTTTGCAAGCCATGCACGCTTCTGATACAAAACTTTCTGCTCAAGTGGCCCCTTCAAGCACGAAAGCATGTAGTCCATGCCGTTCTTGTCATTCACCCTCGACAGCTCCATGTGTTCACTTTCTGCCTCGGCCTCGCCTGTCAGGCTTGAGAACAGCATCAATCCGGCCTCAGCGCCGGTCAACTGGTTCTGAACCTGTAATCTCCAAACATTGACCCGACGCTCGAACTTGGAGAAGGCACGGAGGTCCGAGGAGCTGTAGTTCCACTTGGGTGGATTTGGAGGAGTTCCACCCTTCCACTTTATGCCAGGCGACGGTCCCTTACGGGTGTCCCAACTGCTCTGCGAGGACTTGTCGTTCTTGCGCTCCTCAAGCAACTGCTTCATCACCTTGAGTCATCTGAACTCTTGCCAACTCCCTTGCCTCGAGCTTCGATCGGCAGCATGGCCGGCAAAGGAACACCTGAAGGCGATGGATTGCTAGGTACTTCTTGCGCAGTGGATCGGTTTCTCCTTCGTTGACGTCTTGAACTGGCGGCCGACAACTCGGAACCAAGGCCTTGAGGCCAAACATAGTCAACCGAGGTGTCCACCGAAGGATCATGGGTTGGATTCTCGCTCTCACCTGCTTCCCGTGCCGGGTCAGCGGCTCGCTGATCCTCGGACTGCCTCCGGTCAGCAAATGGGGGCGGATCCTCATTGGGAGAGCCATCGGACCGTACTGCAGGAACATACATCCAAACACCATCAGAAGTCTGGTGCCTTCGAGGTTCCGAAGACTCGTAGAACTCTCGAGAATCGCAGACCTGGCATGCATAGGTGTCGTTGCCCAACGAGGCCCAATGACTAGAGTGGCATCTCAAACAGCGCCAAGGTCTGGGGTTTGAGGTCCACGCACCTGGATCATCTGTAGTCTCATCTGCGGCCAGCGTCTCTTCCAGCTCTGCGAGCTCAGCATGCGTCCAACCGTTCGGCAGGGAATGCACAGAAGAGGAGGTCATGGACAGCAGGCTCCGGTGCCAACTGAACACAACACGTGCGACGGGGTGTCGTGTCACATGGGGGTGTGAAAGGACGGCGCCTTTTCACAAAAAGCGAACGAGGCTCAGTGCGCACCTGAACGGGAAATGGCGGCGGACACATCAGCTCATGTGCATGCGGTTCCTTGACATGTCATGCTCAAACTTCACAAAATGAACAAACATGCGTCCTCACTGGCCCTCCGTGCAGAAACTTAGTGCCAGACCGGCTGGCGCCCCAATAGAGGTGCATGACCACCAATCTTGCTGCGAGCAAGGAGCCAGCCAAAGCGCCTACGTTCGTCAAAATCAGGTTCATTTCCTGACTAAGTGGTTGAATTGGCCAGGAACTCATGGTTAAAACAGAACATATCAGAACATAACTTTCACACAAATCATTAGAAAATTGACTTAAGGTTCACCTTTCACCACCTGCCAATGGCTTGCCAAATGTCGCCTCCGCAAGAAAGGCATTTCACCTTAGCTGTTTGCCAATCTTGCGAAAGCAATCGAATCCCTCGATGCTACGCAGTCTGAAGCTCTGAATCCCAATCGCACGTGATTCAGTCATGGACCTTGGGCCACTCAGGGGAGGTCCAGTCGTGGTCACCGTTGTGGTGCCAATTGCCAACATACATACTGTGAGACATCATAGAACTAAATGTAAAAGTACTGAAACCTGTCCCCCGGCACAACCCAAAACTACACACCCTACCGAAAGCTACCTCAAACCTCATGCATTCATTCACGTCAACAAAAAAGGGCATGACAGTCAGTATAAAGGACATGGTGGGAAAGGCAGTCGTTGCACAGTTGTTTTAGCTAGCATGCGTCAGCATTTATCCAGCCTTGCTGAGACACCTTCTTCCTTTAAAAGAATGCTTGCCACACTGTTGCACAAACCCCCTCCTTGTGCATATTCAACACCTTCGCGCTGTCTGACTTCAAAGTGATTTCAAAGTAGCTCGTACAAGTAGGTTGGCCCTTCAACCCTTTGAATGCAGAATCTAGCTCAAAGGTTTGTCAAGCGTGCCGAACCACTCCGTGCAGTCTTTCAAACACCTCAAGTCATGTAAACAGTTGCTGTCACACTTTGCAAAAATTCCCCCACATGCCAAATCATGCCATTAGGATTTTGCCCGCCCAATGCCAAGCCACACAAAGGTCGCTGGGGCTCACAAAGCAGCTGAACAGAGCTCTTCAGCGCCCAGCCGGAAGCAACAGCTGCCAGGGCACTCAAGGCCAAAGGCAGAAATCGCCAGGGTCTGGGGTCGAGTGCACGGATCACCGTCCCTGACTTATTGGGTCACGGTCTGTACCATTCTATGTCAGAGGGAGGGGGAAAGGGAGGGAGGGAGCGTGGGGGCAAGGAGGAGAGAGAGACAGAGAGGGTAGAGAGAGAGAGAGAGATGTGGGCAGTGGCCATCTTGGGCTCTTCACACCAAGTGATGTTGAAAATCTCTCAAACTAGAGGCTCCGCATGTCAATGGTCTTAGCATGATTCAAGGCACCTAGTGCAATCCAGATGCAAAACTTGCTCGAAGAAAATCATGTGAAGCTCAAGGAGCAGGAACCCAAGAAAGTTCTTCAGCCAAAGTTGTGATGTTGGTGCTTCCGAGAAATTGAAATCCCTTGATCTGCTTCATCTAATTACAGTGAACTATTTGAACAAGCTAACTATACAAAAATTACTCGTTGAGCTCCTCTTACGATCTTGATTCCCAACCAATTCACCGCTTGAAGTTTGAACGGCTGGGAATAGCCTTGCTTGCCTTTGGTAACACTAAGCGGCATCTCATGCAAAGGTGTACCGATTCAACTCCCCAGTACCATTACCATCCATTCAGGCAAGCATCGTCCAGGCGCACTGGACCGCATACACATGGTACACTTGAGGCTCTCCAGTGCTAGTGACGTTCTCAACTTCACCTGTCAGAAGAAAAATGAAAGCATTATAAAGCATTCGAGGCGCAGGCTGCCTTTGTGTCCTTCAAGCTGTAACCCAACAGCTTAAACTTCTACTTGGTCACTTCAGAGCGGTCAGCACATATTGGCGCACCATCACAACAACGACGGTTCTTGGCCACCTGTGTCGTTGTCATCTTCTGTACTGGCCATGCTTGGCACCGAAGTACTCGTGGTGAAAGTCTCCAAGTCATTCTGTGCGAATGCGGGGGCCACCACCACTCGCGCGTTTGATACCTAAGGGCGCAAATGACGTCTAAGCCTAAGCACTGACACTGCTCGACTTGCATCAACATCTCACCTTTGCATGTGTTGTAATTTATACATCCATAAGATGTTACATTACACTACAATTACATACAATACAATTACCATTATATTACATTACATTGTACATTATACATTCATACATACATACACACATACATATCATATATGTCTATACACATGCGGTTGTCATGTATATACCTTGTATACCTTGTTGTCGATCACTGCAACATGCCCATAGTTCCCGCTCGACCCAAGTTCTTCCTGTTGGTAGAGATATCGCCACACGCAATGAGCAATGACAATTGCTCAGACCGAAAAGCCAAGCAGAGCACCTGTGGAACCAAGCCAGGAAATTACAAAACTCTGTCCCGAGTCAAAAAGGAGCAACGCCGAAGTCTCTTGAACATAGTCCACAACACGCTGCGGCAGCCACTACAGAACTTCGGTGGATGTAGATGAGGCCATACTTGCCACATATTCTTTCTGACTTGAGAACGCCTCGAGGGTAGTGAAGGAGTGGCAAAGCACATTAAATTGAATGTTGATGATGAGGGCAATCTTTTTAGGGATGGTCCGATGGTGCCTGTTTCCCCACCCTCGTCTAAACTTATTCTTTCGGAAGTTGTATGCCTTTCAGCACACAAAATCGCAAAAGACTCAGCACTGATGGCTTGCCCTTTATGCTGCATCCCGGCTCCATCCATCCCACCGCATTCTGTTCTGTTGAGGCACTTTCAACTTTTCAGGGCCCGGTCAAGACATGCAGTGACAATGCTGCTGCCAAGAGTCTGCAGCACGATCAACTGTCACCCGCTGGACCGACGGCTCCTCCAATACAGTTGTCTTGCAAATGTTAGAATACGGATTTGTATGTGTATATATATTATAGGATTCTACAATATCAAGTATACAACAGTTCAATGCTACATGTGTGTGTGTGTACGCTCGACATTGGGACTCTTCCTGGCCTCCAAAGCTTCTTCCCATGGCAGGTCAGATAGCTGGAGTGACCCAGTGCCTGCGCAAGGTCATGGACACGTTCGCAGCCTGATTAACCAAGCAATTTGACAAAAAAAGCCGACGAGATCTGCCAGCATGGTCTACAAACTACAAGCTGCATCAGAGCTGTGACTACCAACATGTCCAACAGAAGGGCCTCCTGCAAAGGTAGCTGCCAAATCCTCCGCGGAAGATGTGTCTCCTGTGAAGGCACGCCTTCGTGGGCCTCCCTCTATATACATTATATAAACATCATTAAACTCGACTTCATGTGCCGAAGGTCGAAGGTCAAGTAAGAAGCAATGAAAGCTCGATTTTTAGGTGATCAGTGATATCAGATTCTGCTTGTGTGGCTCAATTTTACTGTCCTGGCCTGGGGCTGCATCGGGTACCAAAACGCCAAAGTCAGCAAACACAGCCAATCTGCCAGTGTGCAATGGGTTGTGCATCAGTTTCGTATCGTCGCAATCTGATGTTTTAACCGGCGGCGCCTAATCGTAGCCAGCTGGGATGCGTCCAAACGGCGCAAGGGTTCCACTACCTGAGCTGCTGGCAACGAGCCTAAAACTTTAAAGGTGCATCATGAAGTCCCTTTTTTCATGATTTCCTGTGGTAACAGTGGCGAATCTACTGCTAAAGGAGCTGGTCAGGGAGCTATCATCAAAGTGGAGTGCAACCAGGTCCTTGACTCCTTGAGATATCAATCTGCTCTTGGGACTCTTGGGCATGGCTGCAGAATGCACGCTAATGCAAAATGATGCAAAATGCATGCTAATGCAGCAATCATCAGCCGTTATGTACCTTTCGTGAAGGGATTCTGACCAAGCAGCCACGCGTCGTATTCGGACCTGAACCGCAAGCCACAAAGCCCAGCGAGGACACCACTTGTGACACAATCCATCCCATTGGTTAACTGGTTATAGACAGAGAGATTAACGACAACGATTCTTAGCTTCCTGAGAGTGACCTTGAATGATTTCCACCAAGCAACATGCTTGGCTTCCACACCTGGTGGGGCAGATAAAGGCTGATTCCAACACACGCACACACAATGAAAACAAAGAAGCTTGATGACATGAATGTTTGACACTTATCTATATATACATAGACTCTAGACATACTTCCCGCGATTACGAATCGCTGGAACACGATCGCATATGCCATGAGCAAGACTCCAAGCTGAATGAAAGCAATACTGGAAGACTTGGAAGACTTGAAATGCTCAACTGTATATAGAGAGAGCAATCTGGAAAGCAGCCTCCTTGTCGGCTGATGGTTTCTCGCAGCAAACGCTGGAAGCCCTGGTGGCGTCAGTCAGTGAACATTGATGAACATTGAGCAATGGACACAGGATTTGAAGTGAAGCGACTCCTGGTGCTATAGCTGCTATAGCTATACAAAGCAGGAATGGCACGGAATCCAAGCAAAAACAACTTCTGCAAGTCAAGCAATGTTCACAGCACACCGACCTCCTTAGCGGCCAGGTCGAACCAGGGGATTGTTGCATCCAGGGTGGCAACTGAGAGGCTCAGGCGCAAGGTGCCTGCAGCATTTCTTCAATTGGACGTTGCTGCTACGTTCGTGTTTCGCGCCCGGGCCCACCCAAAAGAATTGGAGTTGTGCTCAACGAGCGGAAATGGCACACTTGACAGGTATGCTATGCTCATTTCTGGGACGCTTCGGGGCTCCTGGCATCCTCACATGTTTATGTGATGTTAATGTCAATGCGGCCAGGGCACCGTAGACAAACACTGAAGCGCTGAGGTTCAGAGTGCCGTTCTCTCCTTAGGATGCAAACCAATCAGAGCACCTGCAGCAAGCGTCAACCATTCCACCGCACAACGAACCATGTGCCACCAAGATTCCAATATCGAAGTTCCAAACCTTGACAGGAGGAAGACGGAAACATACGGAAACCAACAAAATAAATCCTTGGCCTATTGCACCCGCTTGCAGTCCAAGATTCTGTTTCATTTGAACCATTGAAGGAAAGATTGTTGCTGCTGCCATCTACATCCTGTTCTGTATCATCTACAAATACCTGGCTGGCATTGTTCTTTGGTTGGCCTCCATCAGAAGAGTTGGATGCAAAGGAACTGTTGACAAGCAGACCCTGGTTTCCACCTTCGACATCGTCGAAAGTGCTGTTGTCAGACTTGTCCACCAAAGATTCATTGAAATCAACCGACTGGTTTTCGTAGCTTTCTTCCTTGTCCACATTCATACTCCCGGCGTCAAGCCAAAAATATGTCTCATTGGAAGCGTTTTCAGAACTGTTG